TCTTAAATACTCACAGCACCGTATCGCCATATCCATTGGCAGTAGCAAGTTCCTGTACTTGCTTGCAGCAGCAGCAATAATCTACAACTACAGCAATAACCAACAGCAGCAGCAATTCAGCCACAGTGTAGCAGATCTGTTCCGCCAAGACCAAATACATTAACATTGTCATATCCATCACCATGCTAAAATCTTCCGAGAGTTGTCATGACTGAAATACATTTTTCAGCACTAACAGTAGCCTTTGGAACACTAGTGAATAAACTGGTGAACAGTGTTGTGGGATCTGGAGGTTTTCATGACACAATGCATGTCCATACGCAGAGGCGGACAGTAACTAAGTACATTTACTTGAGTATTGTTCTTAAGTACACTTTTTGAGTATCTGTACTTTACTTGAGTATTATTTTTTTCTGGAAACTTATGACTTTAACTTCACTACATTTGAAAGACAAATATTGTACTTTTCACTCCACTACATTTCTATCAAGGTCCTCGAAGTAGAAAGTCGTTACTATGTAGCAGCTTTGAAAGTCAGTGGGTGATTTTTTTTTCTTCTCTAAAACATGACTTTCCTATTTTCAGACAGTTTATCAGTAATCACTCTTGTACGGCTACATGAAGTGATTTCCCAGCATTTTTTGAACACTGACCAGTTGCAAATGCAACAATTCAATAATAAAAAGTTAATATTGTGGTATACATTACACACAATATCGTCTGATTTTGCTAAATTGTGTACGTGAAAATATTACCTATAAAGCCACAGAAGAACTGTTGTGGTCTCCTAATAAAACACAAAAGGTGTTGGACTGAAGCAGCACTGCACAGACTGTTCTGTGTGTGACATCAAAGTACCGCAAGAGCGATTAGACAGCATTTTTAAAATGTTTGTTTTGATGTCAAATAAGTCTTGCTGTTTTGCTTTTTTGTTAAAGCAGTGTTGCTGTTGTAAAGTTATACAGCTACAGTTGCGTTGCTGGGTTTTAAAGCAAGTTTGATTTTTTATCTTCCTTATCACTCTGTATTTACAGGACTTCACTGTACTGTATTCAGTAGGTGTAATGTATTCTAAGTTGCTTCAGAAGTATTGCAAGTACTACGTACAACAATAAAACAGTGCATTGACATAAGAAAGGACATTTACTTTTGGTACTTAAGTACTTTTAAAAGCAAGTGCTTCTGTACTTTTACTTGAGTAAAAATCTGTCTTTACAACTTTTACTTGTAATGGAGTAATATTTGACCAGCAGTATCTGTACTTTCACTCAAGTAATGGAGTTGAGTACTTTGTCCGCCTCTGTCCATGAGTCAAAACAGAAACTACAAGCCTCTGAGTGAACAAATCCTCTTCCTTTGCCTTAAAGGAATAGTTCACTCTAAATTGAAAACATGCTGAATATGTGCTCACACTCAGGTCATCCAAGATCAGGATGAGTTTGTTTCTTCATCAGATTTGGAGAAATGCAGCATTGCATCAGTGTCTCAGCAATGGATGCTCTGCAGTGAATGGGCGCCGTCAGAATGAGAGTCCAAACAGCTGATAAAAACATCACAATAATCCACACCACTGCAGTCCATCAGTTAATGTCTTGTGAAGCCAAAAGGTGCATGTTTGTAAGAAACAAATCCATGATTAAGATACTTTTATCTAGAGTCCGTAATCCATAATAATGCTTCCTCCAGTGAAAATGTCCATCCCTTGTTGCCTCTCACATCAAAATCCAGCCACATATTTGTTTAGAGCGGTTTTGGCTTGTAAACGGTGCTTGATCTGTGCAGATTTCTCTCCTGATTCACACCAGAACACTTTTTCACTGAAGGAAGCGTTATTATGGATTATGGACTCAGATTTTCGTTAAAAGCATCTTAATGCTGGATGTGTTTCAGCTTTTGTCTTCTCCAGATGTTAACTGATGGACTGGAGTGCTGTGGATTACTTGTGGATTATTGTGATGTTTTTATCAGCTGTTTGGACTCTCATTCTGACGGCACCCATTCACTGCAGAGCATCCATTGCTGAGACATCCGTTGCTGAGACACTGATGTAATGCTACATTTCTACAAACCTGATGAAGAAACAAACTCATCCTAATCTTGAACGGCCTGAGAGTTTTCATTTTTGGAAGAATTTTCATTTTTGGTGAACTATTCCTATGTGAAATGACTGAAAAATAACAATTATTTTATAGTAAATTACTGTTTGTCATGAAACAAACTAGCAATTCACTCTCTTCAAAATCCCAAACATACAACAGCTGTTTAAAATCACACGTTTGTTATGAAATGTATAGCATCCGAGTTATAAAATGGCAAATGCGCTTACATTACCTAACCCAACTGACACAGAATACACGATGCATTTAATATATTTCTATTGTGTAATCACTGTCACCACGTAGTTTCCTGTCAAATGAATGCATTAAAATAAATGAAAATAGAGGCAAACAAAAAATTATTAAATTGCAAGTGAAAGACTTTTTCTAAATCAAACTTATTTTTAAATGAAACGTTCATTAAGTGTGGCGAAAAAGTTACTTTGTCATCTTGGTGTCTTGTAAACTCACTCAAATATGTTTAAACATGTTAACATCTGTTTTGAAGGACTTTAGCTGTACTGTTGTAGTTTTAACCCCGTTCTCAGCACCATGTCCTCTTTCTGTGCCTCTCTTCTGACCTATATGGAAAACACTGAGAGAGGATACAATAAGCTATTTCATGTGCTATTGATCTTTTTGTGGAGTTGCCCTTCATATCCAATTGGAAATCTGTCATATCCCATCAGCTATGAGCAATTACTAACAAAAGGATGATGCCGCCGTTCCTCTTGTTATTTGCACGAGTGAAAACATCCCTTCAGGCCAAAGTGAAATGAAAGAATGTTCCTGATTATTTGTTTATTTTTCATCCGTAACTCACATCGCAGAATGAAAGCACCTATATGATGAATGCTTCATAGTGATTTTTATTGTGCTGCGTAATTCCTGTTCTGGAATTACACAACCTTCATATTAAAAGTTTAATCCTGCATGATTTGTATATGGAAAAATCCTAATGAGAACAGCCCAGACCAGTTTATTCCAGAGGCATGACACAATTTATGGATTTATGGATCGACAATGTGAGCTTTGAATGACAGAACAGGACCATAAACAAATAACTATAAATATATGGATATTTTATATTTTATATATGTTTAAAATATATGTTTTGAAATATATAAATATTTATTAAATATAGTTTATGCATTTAAATGTATTTGTGAATTAATATTTTATTTTTGCTCTTGTTTTAATGTATTTTGTCACCATCACCAAGTTATAGAATAATAATAATAATAATTAATGATAGTAATAATAATAAAATATTAATAAAAATTATATATATACTGTGTATATATATATATATATATATTTATATATATAGCTTATTATTATTATTATTATTATTTCTATTCTTTTTTTTTATTTAAGTGAAAATGTTCATACTTGGAAACAAGACCACAAACAAGTAACTATAAAATTTAGTAACTAAATATTAAACATATTTACACAGAAAGTATAGTTTACGTATATATATATATATATATATATATATGTGTTTGTGTGTGTATATACACACACACACACACACACACAATATTTTTTAAATAATATTATTTAGTTTTTATTATTATATGTATTTTATTATTATTATTGTTTTTATTATATTAATATAATTTTTAATGTATTATTTTAAACAGTACCATGTCACATTCCTTGTATACTTGCAAACAAAACCAAATTTTTTTGTCATAACCATATATTTCTAAGGTATGCTTAGACTGAAAATATAGTTTTTTTATGTATATATATATATATATTTATTATTATTATTTATGAATAAATAAATAAATTAATTAATTCGTTTTTATTTCTACTTGTTTTATGCTATTTTTGACATCAGCACCAAGCAAAATCGGTTATACTTGCCCTGATAAAGTCTGTTGTATTATATCTGTATTATATTTCTGATGTTGTGGCTACTGTGTTTGTGTATTATATAGTATCACTTTATTATATGGCCGTCTGCACCTGTTACACTGCAGCTGACTGAAGATGGCCATATAATCTCTCACAGCAAGCTCTTTAACTCCACTTATATGCCTGATTGTGTGTCTTATTGTAAAGACGCGGCTGCTGTGTTACAAAGCAGCTAATCCAGAACAGGCCATGTGTGTGCAATAATCGGACAGGCTGGATTGAGGACTTAACTTAATGTGTCTTTTACAGCTAATCAGCTATTAAACAAGACGTTCTCAGAGGTCAGGCAACAAAATAGGCTTCTAAGTACTTTATTTGGGTCACTGAGGTGAGAAAATTATATACAATTAATATGTACAGTCTTTGCACAAGTTTTTAAGCCCTGCTTAAAAAGCCGGAAAATAAAGAGAAGTAAATACACAAGGAAAGCATTCAATTCTCAAACACACACTCTATTGCAGTACGCTTTACAAGAATACTATTTCAGTCGGTCTGCTTCAAAATCTCATGCTTAATTCAATGTTACGTGCCAATTATTTGTGAAATTTAGCTATTTTTGAGTGAAAATTGCTTCTACACCAAATTTTTTCAGTGTATTTATGGCACTTTTGGGAGAGATCTGACTTTTTTTTGAGAGATACTTAATTAGGATCTATGTGCAATTAGAAAAAAAAGAAAAAAGTTTAGCATACATTTAAGAATTTTTACACAACTATGTCAGATAGAAATAGAAATATGTGTGGATAAAAAAAAACCAAATTCTCATTCTAAACAAATTTACTTAATTTTTCTTTTACTAAATACATACAAACTCATCGCTAACAACGTCTATACAAGAAACTAAATTGGCTTGCTACTTATTTACAGAAAATCCATCATTTTGGTGAGTCAGCAGCACGAAAAAGTGTAATGGAAAAGACATAATACAAAATGTACAAATATTTACAAAATATATTTATGTTCATTTAAGTCACACAGGCTGTTCTTCAATATATTCTCCTGAATTAAAAAAATAAGAAAAGAAAGGAAAAACACTTCCATTTGTTGCAAGTATCAAAAATACTGACTGCTAAATTGCTGGAAAGTTTTGCTTAGTCCGTCACGCTCACATAATCAGCTAAAATAGCAGATTCCATGAACAAGACTGAACTCTTATCTGATATTTAAAAAGTGGTAGCAACTTCAGATGAATCTGAAACCAGAAACGCATCTTTGACCGTCACAATCTGCTCTTCGACGCCCGTGTGATGGGCCGAGTATGACGGCAGCGTTCCTGTCCTGGAGAAAGTCTGTGCGTTCAGCATGTTGGTTTTACTGTGGCTGTCTCTCCAGGAACGAGGAGTGACGTGGGTGTTGTAAAGCGGTGCCGGTGCGAATCCGATGGTGTAGGCGCTGCCAGGCGGGATGTGCATGTTTCGGGTCTGGGTAAAGTGAGCTTTGCTCTTCCAGTCTCCTGCGCTGTTGAATGCACCTTGCAGAGAAAAAGACAGGAATTTAATGCACTGCAAAAATAATTTCTGTAGTCGGTCTATTTTTCTTGCCTGATTCATATTCATTCAAATTCATGTTCATTTGTCACTCAAATTATTATGCTGATGACATCTTGTTCTTTCTTTTTTAGGCATATCGCAAAATGTTATACTTATTTTTTTACCATTTCTTTGCAAGTAAATCAAATAAAAAAATATTTGAATATAAAAAAAATGCAACACGACAAAACAATTTTTTGTCTTGTTTGTACACCCATAAATAACTTTTTTTTTTTAAATAAATAATAATAAAATAAATATATGCTAAATATATGTTGCAAACAGTGAAAGCCTCTTGGAATATAAATACATGGAGGGCAAAATATATTTAAAAAAGACATATTTCTATGTTTATAAATATATTTTTAAAAACATTTTAAAAATGGCCAAAAAGTATTTTTGTAGAAAACATGTTTATGTAAATATAAAATATTTTTTGACCATTTTATATGTGATTTTTTTATTTTTGTCGTATGAGAAATATCTAAACATTCTTAAATCAAGATACATTTATTTGAGAAACAAAATGATTTAAAATGTAGTGAGTTTATGCTTAAAAACAAAACAAAAATCCACCAGTTGGGTCAGAAAAATACATTTTCACCAAGCGGCAACCTCCGGCTCTCTCTCGTGAAACCAACACGGAAGTGACTTCAACTGTAATTCATCGACTGGCCGCTAGAGGCTGGCTGCAAAAGGGACTCAGTCCCATAGACTCCCCGTGTTAAAATGCCCAACTTTACAGCAGAAAAAAACATGTTTACAGCCTGGTACAAAAAATTATTTTGGTCTATATAGCTAATATTGCCCTTCATGACAACTGTGAGGGGGGTGAATATTTTTATAACTCATCCGTTTAAATTATATTAAGCCTTAAAGTTCTGCATAATTAAGGGCGTGGCCACTTGAGTGACAGGTGGATTGCCGCTGCTGTCACCACCGTCGAGCTCGGTGGGCGTTGTTTCAGCAACCAGCTCCCGCCTCTTTGCCCATCTTCGATTATCCGGGAGTGATGCGCGGTGACGCGCTGCCAAGATGGCGATGGCCGGCTCCGCCTACTTTAGGCTTCAAAAACGCTCTTCAGAAACCTACGGATGACGTCACAGACACTACGTCCATGTTTTTACACAGTCTATGACAGGGCTGTCCAAACTCGGTCCTGGAGGGCCGGTGTCCTGCAGAGTTTAGCTCCAACCCTAATTAAACACACCTGAACCAGCTAATCAAGCTCTTACTAGGCATAGCAACTTCCAGTCAGGTGTGTTGAGGCAAGTTGGAGCTAAACTCTGCAGGAACCCGGCCCTCCAGGATGGAGTTTAGACAGCCCTGGTCTATGATTTCCACTGATATCACATGGACTATTTTAATGATGTCCTTACTACCTATCATGGGACTAGAATGTGGTAGTTGTGTTGCTGTCTATGTTGTGAAAGCTCTCGGATTTCATCAAAAATAATGTGTAATAATCTTTATATGTGTTCCGAAGATGAATGATGACATGAGGAATTAAGTACAGAATTTTCATTTTTGGGTGAACTAAGCTTTTAAAGACAATGGGATTCAAATCTGGATTCTTAGATTTGGATTCTTTACATCTCTATTGGATTGTATTTTTGAAGTAAATGGCTGAAAACAGGCATCAATAAACATAATAACATTGCAAAAGTTCTCTTTATATTGTCCAAAGCACAACCCTGCTGTATACATTTTTTTCATTTCAAGTAAATATTCTGTGATTTAGGATTGTTTAGATATTAGTACTAGAAAACAAGACAAATACCGAGTAAGAAAATCACAGTTCGCAGCAAAGCCAACAATCTCAAAGAAAACACTGTAAAGCTGGTGGGTCAGATAAGTGTACGCACCTCTGGCCACCGGCTGGAAGGTCGTCAGGCCTCTTTTCTGAGCAGCTCCGCTGATGTCAGAGTCGCTGTCATTGAAATCACTGTCTCCTTTACCGCTGTCCTTCACGCTCAGCTGATCTGTGTTGCTGGTGCCACTGCCAATACAATCACATCAAATCTGTTAACGACTGCTGAATAACACTCCATCTGATTATTGATATTCCATTGCAGAACAAAACACTATATTCACTGGCACATGACTAATATGCCAGCGCATCACGTACGGTTCATGACCGGTTGTAAAAAAGAGACTAAACCCTGAAAAAAATCAAAAAGTGATGTGTTTGCATATTAAACACGTTTATAGTTTTCTGAGCAAAATGATGAGTATTTGTCGACTGCAGTTGCAAAACTAAAGCTGGACCCAAAAGTATAAAAACATTTTGCATTTAAACATGGAAATAATCGATTTTTAGGCCTTTAATGGAAAATAAAAACATTTCAGATGCACTATTTACAGATGACTAATCAAATGCAAGTAAATAAGTGTCATTGATCACGTGACTCTTTGTACAGGTGCTCATATTCCTTCTCCAATTCATGATTATTTATCACTCAAAGTTATAGAAACACTATAATGTAAAATAAAGAGATATTTCAGATGCACCGTTTCTCTGTGAATAATCAAAGTAAACTAAATGAGCGTTATTGATCATGTGACTCTTTTGTACAGACATACAGAATTCTATTCATTCTCAAATTTATGATTGTTTGTCACTCAAATCATTATGCTGATCATACAATCTGAATATAATAATTTTAGATATTTTTAAAATAATTTTAAATAGTAATTACAATATATTAAATTTGTATATTTTTAATTATATCAGAAAAATTTTTTAAAAATAAAAGTATCTTCACTAATGGTCTCAAACTTTTGTTCCTCACTATTTTTCTATTTTGATTATGATTAAATTACAGTCAAGCAATTAAAATGGGAATTATCCAGGTAGGCAAATATACCAAACAAAAACATAAAAATATTTGCAACCGTTCTTACCTCCTTTGCAAACAGTATTTTTCATCTTGCCATAAAAAGGTTTGCTCAAAAGGTTTGCAGGGCAGGAACAGCTATGAAAACAAAAGCTCAAAGTTAATATGCTGGCATAAATGTAAATGTGCATCAAAACAGCAGCCAAAATCACTCACCTTTTCCTCAAAATCCAGGCTTTTATCTTCATACAGAGGTTGCATTGAATCGCCTTCGCTTCTGAGGAAGGCATTAGGGCCTCCATAAATGTTTGAACCGCCAGGGTTGTTCTTGGAAAGCGGGGTTGATCCGTACAGACCATCTCTCCCAAAGTTTCTTCGCCTTCGTTTGATGGTGCAAATCACGGTGAGGATGATAATCGCAGCCAGCAATAGCACACAGCATCCAGCAAAACCAATAATCACTGCAGTCCACACATCAAACTCCAGAGTCTCTTCATCCTTGGATCGGAGTAAAATAACCACCTGGTTCTCTTGTGCACCTGTGTCTGTCACCACAAACCGGACGGTTGCCGTGCTAGAAAGCGGCTCTCTTCCATTGTCAACAACCGAAACTTTAATCTGCAGGACTTCTCCACATTGCGTGGTGAGTTTTCGTTTCAAGACGATTTCGCCGCTGTTTTTACCAACGGAAAAGAGTTTGGCATCGTCTTCTAGAATATGGAAACTGAGCTCGCTGTTTAGGCCGCTGTCTTCATCTTGAGCCGTCAATCTTAACGATAAATAGCCACTTTGAGCGTTAAAGGGAATTGGGACGTCGGCGGAATTGTTTCGTAACACCGGATATGTGAAATATGGAAAGTTGTCGTTTTCGTCCACGACGCGGATTTGAATTAAAGTCGTGCTTGATAATGGCGGGAAACCTTTATCGCTGGCTTTGACCGCAAACTCGACTTCTTTCAGAGTCTCAAAATTAAACGTTCTCAACGTGTACAAAGAGCCAGAATGAGGATCGATGGAAACAAATGTAGAAATCGGCGAACCGTCTGGCGTTTTGCTGTCGATTAGGCTGTAGGAGACTTTTCCGTTTTTCCCAACGTCGAGATCGCGCGCAACCACCGTAGTCATGTACGACCCGGGAATGTTGTTTTCAATTACTGAGACATCATAGATGGCTTTGCTAAACATCGGCACGTTATCGTTCTCATCTGTGATGCGAATGGTATAATGTTTGACGGTTTTAAACGGAGGAGTTCCTAAATCCTCAGAAATCACTGTTAGGTTGTATTCTGGAATGGCTTCTCTGTCCAAAGTCGTGGTTGTTATGATCATAAACGTGTCGCTGTATGCTTGTTGCAGCTTAAAATGCTCGTGTCCTTCTAAACTGGTCCGGACATAGCCGTTGGGACCCGAATCTGCGTCTGAGGTGCTAATAAGAGCTACGAAACTTTCTTCGGCTGCGGATTCGGTAATGAACGCGACTCTGTCGCTGGTGGAAGTCATTGGTTTGATGCTAATCTCCGGCGCATTATCGTTCACATCGACGATTTCGACAATAGCGCGACAGGTGGATGATACCGAATTGGCGCCCAAATCGGAGGCTTGGATGTGCAACTCGTACGACTTTTTGGTCTCATAATCGACGGAGTCTTTGAGGGTCACTTCTCCTGTGATGAGATTGATCTGGAAAACACGTGTGACTTCGCTTGGGGAGCCTTCAACGAAGCCGTACACGACTTCTCCGTTGATCCCGGCGTCGGGATCGAAAGCGTGTACTTTTAGCACACGTGAGCCGATGGGCGAATCTTCACTGAGCTCGACTTTGAGCTTGTTGTGTTCGAACGTCGGGCTGTTATCGTTGAAGTCCAGCACTCGGATGTAAACGGTCGTCGAGCCCGATTTCGCCGGCGTCCCGCCGTCAGTCGCCATCACCTCGATGGTATAAAACTCTTCGGTTTCTCTGTCAAGCGTCTTGATCAAAACAAGTTCAGCTGACTTTTCTCCATCCTCACGAGTGCTGACTTCAACAACAAAATGGTTTGTGTGTGAAATATGGTAGCCTTGCACATAGTTGTCTCCGACGTCGCGATCCACAGCGACGTCCAGCGGAAATCGTGAGTTCAAAGGTGCGTTTTCTGATATATCCAAATGCGTCTCGTTGCGTGTGAACTGAGGTGAATGATCGTTAATGTCTTTTACTTCGATCTCGACATGAATGAGCTGGAACTTCTCCTTTGAAAAAGCGACAACGTCAAAAGTCATAAGACACTGTGGAGATCGGTGACAAAGCTGCTCTCGGTCGATGACTTCTCCCACTGTTAAAAGCCCGTCAACTTGTCTCATGTGAATGATGGAGTTTGTCTTCTGTATAAATTTGAATGATGTCTCAGGATCCTCCGCTGGGTCAATTTTCAGGTCTTGAGAAAGGTTTCCAATCTCTGTCCCAGGTGTGTCTTCCTCATACGTGACGTACTTCGTTGTTGTGCAGCTGACGTTGCAAATCATGCACAGAAGCATGAAGTAACTACAGTAGAACTTCATGTCTGCGAACACTTGAGAAGAACAGCAAACAAACAAAACACTTAAAAAGAAATGCGAGAATAAAAGCTCTTCATACAGTCATCACTAGTTCTGCTTGCAGCAGATTCTGGTGTCTCCAGCTCCCACCTATCAGATATAGGTCATGGTATATGCAAATTAGCCCATCTGCTGACCAATGAACACTCACACACTCCCCAAATCCCCTGCTATGGCTCTCTATTGGGTCACAGCTGTTTCACACCCTGCCTGTGGGAGACCTTTATAAACAATACTCTATTGTTTCATGCCAGACATGCACTACCAGTCAAAAGTTTAGGCATACTTTATTTTTTTATGCTCTCAAAACCCTTTTAATCTGTATAGGATTCTGCTTAAATGCATGACATTAGTTTGGTAGACTTAATATAAATTGTGGATTTCTTTAAAAAGCTGAACCTATAATAAAAAAAAGAGTTTTAGTTTATTTATTTAAAATAATCTTAGCTAAATTACAAAATAAACTTGAAATGTAATATATATATATATA